GCTCTAATAATTTAAATGTTATGTCACAGTTGTCGAGTATCGACAATTTATTGAATCACATTATGTATTCTGTTTGATAATGATAATTATTGAAGGGCGCCCCCGGTTAAGCCCTGTCTAACGACTATTATCTGACTTGACTAAAATTGCAATGAAAAAACAAGAGACCGGTATAAACTGCAAGCAGTACAGGCCTGTAGCCAGCACTTTTGAATAGGGGGTTCGAAAACAACAATAAATGATATATTTGATGTGAAACGTGTGAATTTTATAATATTCAAAAAGTGTGTTTGAGCTCTGTTACATACATTTTTATATTCTCGGTTTTAAAATCAATTGGTTTAATTTTTGAACTATTTTACCATTTTAGAGAAGGGGTCCTAGGCCATTCCCCACCTACAGACAAACACACCCACACCCTTGATCCATTACGGCAAAATGTTGTACACAAAAAGACAAGACTGTACGTATCTTAGCATAATTGTCCAAGCATGTTAAGGTAGAATGCTACTCGCGGGCTTTTTCGCTCTTCACAGATGTTAGCGCACATAAAAGTGACACAATTTCATGTCGAAATCTGTCTACAATTATTCATTTTAGTATTAGTCAATTATGTAATTTATTTCTGTACAGGGCCTCACCACACCGTACAAAATGTAATGGGTAGAAAAGTGCATATCACGTTTTAAAAACAATACAACATCCATGTAAACATATGATACTAAGTTAAGCTGAATTCATATTCATTTCGTCGCTCGAAAACTTTTAAAAGATACAGTGCTAGTTGATATATGGTGTGGCAGTTTGTGTAGCGACGAAGTAAGCCCAGACTGTCAGTATTTGCATAATTGCATAAAATTATTGACAAAAGATCAGCCCTTAGATCATTATAAAATGAACACATAAAAACAAAGTGAATTTCATTTTCTATCATGCTAAATTCAAACGCAACTTGTCTTTCAAACCAGGCAATGCCGAAACCATATTTGAACAGAAGATTTTTATGTGGGTTTCCCAAGTAAGTCTGCCGGTCTTGTCTAATCGTTTAAGCATGATATAACATGTTTTGGGGTTCCAACTATTTATTATTTAATTTTAACCAATATAAGATACAACGCTTGAAATAACCACAGCATAATGGTAGCCTTCCACATTCGTCCAACATCGCTACATTGTTTGTACAACTATTAATGCTAAGTAGATATCTGCAAAATGTTGTCTGTACCCCTCTCTATTTTCGAATTTTGGTACCCCCATATTGCTACCATAAGAAATAGCTGACACAATGATTGCATCAAACAAATTAAATGCACTAACCAATGGCATACTACATGTACCAAGTTTTTTGCAGTACGTAAATTCGTTGGTTTACTGTAAATCTGTTTTAGAGGGCGGTAAAATAATATGCATATAGTAGCAGTTTAGCAGCGGTCTCAATAAACTTCAATGACTACATCTCCTTTTTATGAACCCACTAAAAATATAGAAAAAGACATAAAAAAACGTGTAAAAAATATGTTTGAAAAATATGATTTATCGCACAGTTTCAGTGCTGAAGCAACACTGTGGAATAAATTTTTGGCTGCAAGAAGCTCTTCAACCTATACAACTCGTGATGATAAATCTTCCTCATTTTTTAATGATGTTTTCAACCCTTAGCTGTACACATGTCCAATAACACAGGCTACACGTACTAATACAATAAGTTGACTACATTTGGCTGATACACTTAGAACAAAACAGTATATATGCCATCATTAACTTGAAGAATACAAAACTAATGAACCAATATGAAAGTACAGTGTGGTGTTGTCGTCTCAATCCAGTTAGATCCCCACACTTTACTAACTGAGCAAACACTACCACAAGACAAACGGGCCTATTCAGGACCACCACATCCTTCAGAGAGTGACTACCATTACATTATTGTTTCAATGTTGCTTTAATATTTAACATCAGCTGCTTGAACGCGATCTTCATTACACCATCGCGGAATCACCGAATAAAAGCTTGCCCATTTATAACAACCTGTTTTGATTGGCTGCTGTTGAACTGAGACGGCGTAACTTCACGATTGACATTTAAAGCTTGTTGCCACCTAAATGCTCATTACTATGCAATTTCGACCGAGTCTGATAGTTACCTCACTGAGTCAAGTGATTTAATCGATGATAATTATTTTAATTAATACTGTTTGTTTTATTAGTTCTAATCTACGATCATAAATATATTCACTTCCAAAATTTAGGGGGTTCGACCGAACCCCCCGAACCCCCCAAACTACGGGCCTGCAGTATAAACAATTGTTTTACGTGATTCTTTGGTGCAATCCTTGGGATTGATAGCTTCGAATATAAACTAGCTAGTACGCCCGCTATCGTTAAAGTGAGAACAAAACGGCGGATCGTTTGGCCCCAGACTAGTAATCTGAGGTTTGGCAAGGCAGATTTCCATGTGTAGTCATGATTGAGTTTATTATATATCATAATATGGAAGGCCATACAATTTGGGAGGGAATTGACGGGCTAGAACAAAATTATGAAATGAACAAAAAAAATTAAGCAAAATAAAACACAAAACAAATTCGTCTCGCACGATGTCCTATGGTCCTTCAGTCGATTCCATCGCTCGCCCGGGGAACCTGTCCGGTGACTTATCAGAACCTGCTGACGCCACGTTCAACACTGTGTACCCAGCTTTGCCGCCGTTCGAGTCTCCTGTGAATGAAAGTATATTCTTCAGCACAGTCCCTCTAGAGGGGGGGGGGTATATCTTCGTCATTCGGACCAAGAAAAAAAGTTATGTTTCACGATGTCCCCAAATACCATACCACTGAAAAAGCCAGAGTTGACTGTTGTATTATGGTAACGTTTAATTGGTTTAAATGCGATAGTGTTCACGCGCCGAGAGTTTTATCTTGAACATTTCGACCGTGATGTGCGCCCTCAAGTATATCATGTACTGCATTTTTAGTAATCTTTTTATCTGGTTGGTTCTGATTGGTTCCAAATAAATACTACAGTTATATTGTTTTCTATTTAATAAATATTTATATTTAATAGTCAGTGAGTTTTTAATATATATAAAAAAAAACGAAACAACAAATTCTGGATAATCGTGTACACCTCGATTTCAAATGGATAGCCCTAATTTGTTGGTCACCAACAATTTGCTAACCACTCTAAGTTCTTATATGTGACCCATTCAAAAATAAGAAAATTGTTATTTTCATTACAAAACAATAATCTCTTCAACATGTATACAATGTGGATTAAAGCAGACTGTCACCTACGTGCAAGGTTATGGTTATATCGGATTGAGTCAGCATGTCATTGACCGAAATATCGTACCAGAGGCGGCGACACGAAATAGTTAATGAAGAGGGGGGGGGGGTCCGGGGCATGCCCCCTTAAAAAAAAATGAAATATAGACCCTCTGAAACGCTATTTCCTGCATTTTGAAGGAAAATTGTGCTGACACAAAGGGTTTCAGCTTGACACTTTTTTTCTGCCCTCCCTGTGCCGCCACTGCGTACTGATCTTTAGTTGCTATCTAACGGTCGCCTATATATTTACGCTGTTTCGTGTCTTTCCATTCCGCAGTTGCAAGAATACACTTTTAAAATATATACTTCGACTTGTCGCTTTTTTTAAGTGGCCATGTAAGCTTTAAAATGTGACCTTGAACCTGACACGCACCACAAAAGCGTGCTTTATAAATATGCACAATAAAAATACAATTGTGAATTCCAGAGCACTCTTATATTCACACAGTCTTTCGGGAGAGCGCCCTCTATGTGTGGTGTCATGAAATGGTCTGTTTGTTTATGGATACTTTTCAAATCTGAGAACAAAGGCGGATTGAGCCAACACGTGTGCTCAGATGGTGCTCCCTTTTCTACTCGTATGGTAATATACTATAATTAAATATTGGCATCAGAAGCAACACCAACTTACGAAACATTAGCAGTAAGGTGTCAACGGATTTCCCGTAAAGTAGCAGTGATGGAAATATTTATCAGACACACAACCAAACTTAGTATCCTATGTCTATTACATCTGCAAGTAGTCGGTTACAATCACTGTACTGTAAAATCATTTATTTTCACTAGAATTTCACTATTTTTATCTTTGAGCCTTTTCACTGGGTTTTAATTTCACGAATTTTGCAAACAATGAGTTATTTATTGTTATTTTACATGTCGCACATGGATTTAATTTAGCGATTTTTTCTCATCAGCGAAAATAATGAATTTCGAACCTAGTGATTAATTAATGCCTACATAGTACACAGCGTCACGGCCGTCATGCCCTGTAAAAAATGAAACAAAATATGAGGAATTAGATGACAATATACAAATCCACCCCCATGGAAACATACATGACATTGCCTAACTCCATTCAATGGTATTTAACAGTATGATCTTATCACCTGTCAAACTGCCAACTTTTATCTCCACAAAAGCTATGGGTGAATACATCTGGACACACTGAGACCGTGACCATGCTAACGAAGACGGCGCTATAAACGGTCGTTGTGTTTGTTTTACCGTAACAATACCACATGATTGCACATGAATATAATAAAACGGTATCAACTTTCCTTAAAAACATGGCATTTTCGTGTTCTGAAACTGACCCATTATTGTCTATATATCGCTACATGTATAATCCTTCGTACATTTCTTTAATTACTTATAGATGCCTCCCCCCCTTTAAGAAGGAAATAAACACGTTTTCCGATTGCGTGTTTTATTCTGTTCGTGAAACATGCGTTTAGTATAACAGATAGGCACGCCAATTGTTCAACTATATGAGGTCAGTGTAGATTGCTAACGCTTCACCGGATCCCCCATGTTTGCAGTACACAATCGAAGCACAATAACCGTATAGAATTCCTTTAATAAAAGAGCTTTCAAATCAATGGCCATTGTAATATTATTCACATTTTTAGCTTGAACACACCTCATTGCTTTGAACTACGTTATATAATGGGTGGTTCCAGTCCCACGCTCATTGGGCACTAACAGCAAAGTTGATTATCACAGGATTTCATCCCGCGTGTCTGAAGCCGTAACAGCTTGTATCGGAACTGAGTAGCGGAAAGAAAGGATAAACCAAGCAATCAGGGTTGGATAGCGTATTCATTGTTTAGCAACATGGATGAACGTACATGTCTTGTGCATAAGGCGAGGATCGCCGAGCAAGGCGAACGTTATGATGACATGTCGAAAGCGATGAAGGCAGCGACTGAAAAAAACGCTAATCTCACGGAAGAGGAGCGCAACTTACTGTCAGTGGCGTACAAAAATGTGGTCTGCGCAAGGCGATCTTCTTTTCGGGTGATTTCCAGTATATATTCGAAGAGCAGTCAGACGAGCAACGATAGGCACCTGAAACTGTGTTGTAAATATCGTGAAAAAATACAGAAGGAACTGAACGAATTGTGCAATACTGTGTTGGTAAGTACACCCTGTCACAACCAAATTACGCATCTTCCGTGTGTACATGTATATATTACAGCTTGACACCTGATAGATTGTCTTGGTTTATTTCGCGCATGTATCTGTGATCGTTTCAGTTTACTCATTGATGTAATCGACCCATGTTACGACAATCGTCGTCGTTGTTGGCTGACTTGGAAACCAATTAACTGCATTCCACGTATCATCTGTAGCGATTTCAGGGTCAAATTTATTCACGGCGGCTGATCTGTGTCACGGTGAGTGGCAAGCGAACGCAATCATCAACTCAAAATACAATGTCGCCTGGGAGTTCCCATCCAACCATTCAATCACTGACCACTGTGGGCGCAGTACATAAATACCATGACATCTCCACGGACGAAACCGTTAGCGCTTGGTAGAACGTTATTAATGCAAACAATGAGACGCCCATTATGGTGGTCTTGTTGTAGATACTGTTCTACAGCCCACGTAAAAGCGGGAGGATCGTCACTTGCACACGCGCGGGAATTAAGTCCTAAACGACGATAACAACACACGCTAACAACGCAAAGACTCATGGGTAGACGCTTGTTTGTAAACAATAACACGCTATGGCCATCTGACGACTCCCCTGCATTAATAAATTAGTATATTTTCACAAGATATAGACCCAGTCGCCATGCAGCGAGAATTTACACGCATTCTATGTGTCGCATGGGACCCACATCGATCATGACGCATTACGACGGCTGGAGCGATTTACATACATAAACACTATATGAAAGATCATCGAGCTGATCAGGGTCTCAAATGGTCCGGCTAAGCGTCTGATTTCTCAATTAAATGATTCGACTAAACCCATTATTGAAATAATTTCAATCTGGTCCGTCTAGATTTCAAATACTTCAACACAATAATGAATTGTGATTTTAGTGATCAATAATTTTATTGACACAAAACATGGCTCGGAAGAAATGAAACGAGTTACAAAAAAACGTCCAAGGAAATGTAAAAACACCGAATTTCTCTTAAAGCGGGAGAGTCGTCACCTGCGCATGTGTCAGATGACCATAGCGGGTCACTGTTTACAAACAAGCGTCTTCCCATCAACCTGTGCGTTTTAATGTGTGCTGTTTTCATCGTTTGGGACTCAATT